ATGCTCCCCAGCTGCTATACAATGGCAGCACTCTGCAACAGGGCGGATTAAATGCAGACATATTTTATTATAATCTACAAAAAAATGCAATACAAATTAACGACGATAAAGATAATTCCTAGGATTATATAACTGAGCTGCCATGTACCGACTTAACGATGCAGCCATGATCTTTTCTGGCAATCACCTAGAGCTGAAAACTAACAATATAAAGTAGATTTGAGCAGATGTTTTCACACTTGAAAAGCAAACTTAACATGAATTGGAGCTAGAAGCCCCTCAGCAGCAGAACCTTGTTTACACTGGCTGGAAAAAAAAAAAGGAAGAACCACAGGATTGAAGGTATCATCCGCCGAAGCGTTTGGTCTTTTACGGAGCAGAGCAGCTTTGAAGGAAGACGCAGGCAGGAGGTTTTCATCTCTTGGCTGACAGGTATATGTAAGTGCTGCCAAGAACCGTCTGAAAATATATATGTTTATCTTTCATTAATTCAGAATCACTTTAGGTTCATTTTGGTCAGACACCAACTTTATGAACGAAAAGGGTTTTAACAACTTGCCAAATGGTGGTTTTCAAAAAAGCATATAAGGAATTTATTTTTAGTAGCATTAAGTCTACCGGAGATCCATCAGCAACAAAAGGTTCAGGCAGCAGCTTAAAGCCATCAAGCTGCTGCCTGAGACCGAGCCAGACTGTTGATTTAACACTCTATGGAGTGAGAGGACGCATACAAAGGAGGGGGGGAAGCGGCATGATAGATGGACATATAAAAGTACGACAGGCTTCTGAAAGATTGTAACGGAGCAGCCTACCAGGGGAGATCCTCTGTCAGTTCACACTCCATCTACAGAGTCCGTGCGCTATTACAACAAGCTTCGGTTTCAGACAGAAAGAATCTGCGTAGCTATTCTCTGCATGCATGCAGGGCCGTGTATCAGTGAGGATAATAGGGTGTCTGTGAGCCTCGGTGTGTTAGCATGAAGTGGTCAGATCAAAGCGGGGAGGCAGTCATTCCCACCTGCTCTCATTAGTCTTAGGGTGGTAGGTACCACCTGTTTCTCAGGCTCTGGGTAGACCCCTAAAGACACTTTAAATAAAGAGCGGGGACAGGTCGGCAAGAAGGAAAACTGAAGAATCAATAATGCTGCTATGGAAGAGGAAATCTTTCCTCCTTAAAGCGTAGAAGGACGCGAGCTGACTGACAGATGGAACAAAAAGCGTTTAATAGTTAAAAAAAAATGCTTCTTTGAAAGAACTAAATATAATCCTGATTATAGGCCTGGAGGGATTCTCAGAGGACCAAATTCAAGAAGCATTCATAACCCCTCCTCCGAAATTATGTTTAAAGTGAGATTAAAGATCACTTTGTTGCCCCATTCCCACAGATCCTACGGTATGGAAAAGAGATCAGAACGGGAGGGGTTTATAGGGAACATCTTTAACATTTGCTCTGTTCACAGTGGGCTTGATTAAATGTAACATTTTAGGATCCCAGAGTTCTGAGAAGAGCATAAATCATTCTCTCGCAGCTGCTGGCGTGCCTGGGGAAAACACATGCTATTCCCCTCTCTCCCTTTCTCTCTGATCATAAGCCCACCCGATTTGTTGGTCTCTCAACTAATGAAAGTCATAGTGAGGGGGTGGGGGGGAGTGTTGGTAGTGGACACCTGCAGGATGCTGCTATTTGCAAGGTTCTGTAGAAGCCTTGGCCCCGACCTTTACGTCCTTCACTCTAATCTGCCATCTTATCCAAGAACACCTCGGTTTTTCCTGGCCTTCTGTAACCGTGGATACGAAGACAGACAGATCGAGGAAAACAGCCAGCCACTAATTCCCCAGCTAACTAAACGATTAACTTTGTCTTTACAGAGTAAAAAAATCTTGTTCTCATGTGAGGTTCTAATTACAATACAAACAATGAACTCCAAGTCCATTTTTTTTCTGAAATAAGTCTATTTTCTCTAGATTTGAACAGAAGAGTTCGAAAATTTGCCAAAGGAAAGAGATTATTTATGTGTAAAATAAGATACAAATACAACTCTATTATAGTATTTCAATTTAATCAAATCTAATTGTCATATTACAAAAGCATGAATAGTCATTCTGAAAGCAGAATATCTTATTTACCTGCTCAAATTTAAGGCAAATACTCTTATTTTAACACTTTTTTACTCATTTTCGATCACTTTTTGCAGCTTAAGAATTTGCTGACGGAGTAAGGTAAAGTACTAGCCTAGTAAACTAGCCCAACCCGCCAGCGGCCTAAATCATTTTTGCCTGCGAGTTGGTCTAGCCTCGATCAATGCCCCAGGACCTAGAACTGGTGGGCCAATCACAACGCAGAAATGTGTTTTGAATTTTTGGATGCAAAGTGGGCGGGGTTTTGAGGGCAGGACCACAAAGCTGCACGACGCGGGAGAAAGCACAACAAGGAAGATGGCAACAACTATTGAACAGTTCTCGTTTGACACAGCTCTGGAATCAGTTTTGGAAGAATTAGACTTTTCGTTGAAATGTGAGCAGGAAGAGGCTCTACGCTCATTCTTGTTTGAGAAGGACGTATTCACAGTTTTACCGACAGGCTGTTTGTTTACACTCCCCCACCAGCTTTCTGTTACTCTTCCTACGTCACAGTCAGTTGCGCTCATTGGTCAGAGCATCGGCCAATAGGCACAGACATGCTTTGAAAGACAACGGGTTGTTCTCATCAACAATCTTCCAATGTCTCATTCATTGGGGCCAGACTCAATTACACATTTAATCTCACATTTAGTCTGGTTTATCAGGCTAATAAAGTACATTTAAAAAAGGTAAAAAATGTCCCACATCCTGTCTGTTAAAAAATACTGCAATCATCTAATTCATCTGCTCAGAGAAAATACATTATATCCTTATTTTATCAGTTTTTGCAGTCTTGTTTCAAGTATTTAATTTTACTTTATTTTTCAGAGTAAAAACAAGCACAGAGCATAGCATAGAAAAGACATGAAGAAGGTAATTTCAGCATCAGTCTGGCCTTCGGACGTGTTCGCTTTATTAGATTGTCCCGCCCTGAACTCGATTAAATGAAAACACATCAGGCCCGATCTGCAGGAGTTCTGCAAGCGCGTCAGGACTCTCTTTAACCACCAATCCAAAACCCCAACCCACTCCTTTCATTTTCTAAGTAAACTGGAATTCTGTTTTAAGTCACCAGTAAACAAGCAGACAGAAAACAGATGTCTGCCCATATACCGCTTTTAATAAAAGCATTTACACTTTGAAGAAGATTAAGTTACTATTTAAATGTTGCTCCATAAACTGAGACCATCCTTGCTTTAACACGGGTCATTTCTGTCTGATTACCAGTACGTCACAGAGGGACTGATACAAGTTCAGACATGCATGCTGCAAATGTGGATCAGATGTAAATATATGTAACCTTTATTTATGCAGGTAGATCTCACAAAGATTAAACTTTTTTTTTAAGAGAGGGACATCAGAACAGGAATGTTATATCTAAAGGCATCCCAGAGATATCAACTTTTCCATGGTTCAAACAAAGAGAAATGCAACGAAAGGGGAAAACGGCCTCTGGGATGAATTAAAGGAACCATCAGAAAAGTGCTGGCGATTTCCAGAGCCTGTCACAACCTCTAAGAAATGAGACAACGCAGATCGCACAAATAGAAGCAGAGGTGAAACACTAAAAATAAGCCTTCTCTCAACTTATAACCAAAAGCAGTCAATCAAATTCACCAAAACATGGTGGAAAAAGATGAAGGTTCGTCTGATTTGTTGCTTGAAAAGTAAAAAAAACTATGTTTAAAGACTGCTGATAAAATTATCACATTGACTAGTAAATTTAATTTGTCTTTTAAAAGAAACAAAAAATGTATTTTATAAGAATTGTGCCGTGAGGCTAAAGTAGAACAGGCAGTGAAAATCTATTCACATTTCCTCCTACTGGTGTCCTTTGTTTTTTTGTTTAGAAATGTTTTTCTTTTATTTTCTCACACTAGGCCGATCTTAGGTATCTACTCCACTACCTACACTTAAGCTCATAATTGGCCCTATGAGTCGGAGCCTTTTAGGGTTTTTTTTCTCTCCCACCTTTCACCTCTGGCAGAACGAGGCGTTACATCTATCATTCCATAAACATTTCCCTGATAGGCTTTCAGTCCGCTCTGGTCGACAGCAGGGACTGCGGCACACACCAAAGTCTTTGATGTGGATCTTAAACGGCACAGAGAAACCAGACCTTTCAGTGGACAGAAACGTTCCAGCTCATCTGTTCGCTGCTCCATCAGTTCATGAATTGACAGATCTGTACCGAATAAATCGACCAAGTATGGTGAGAAAACCGACCGACAACATCAACATAAAATGAGGCTTAGTAAGAACTAGTTGAAAACAGCTCACTATAGACATACACAACATGAGTGGAGTCAAATCAACTGTAGATCTAGATATAGAGAATCCCTATAGCAAAAAAAAGGATTTGGAGAGAATGAGAAAGATCCTTCAAACAAAGAAGATTAGAAAAAAGATGCTTAGAAGGACTGCAGACCTACTCTGTTTAACATCTGCTGGGGATATAGACTCAAAGTCCGACTTCATCAACTTCATCTTCTGTCTCACTCAGTCTCCTCATGCTCCTTTTCAGTCTGCTTTGTCTTTATGGCAGGCTTTAATATCTTACATTTTCTATTGAGTTCATGAGGTACTAAATCAAAGTAATAATCTGAAACTATCCAATATCATCATTTAGCAGATTTCATAAATCTATTTAATGCCAGTGAAGCTTAACCACCTCCCTGTCATGTTTCAGAACTCAAATGTTTGCTGTTGCTACAAAACAAATCCATTTAATGACTTTTCTCGCATCAACCAAACTTTAAACTGAGTTTGTTTTCCTTCCCCCTGGAAAGTTTTTTAATCAATAATAGGATCCCTGCTAAGACCCGTCTTCCCACATCTAAAACAAACTCCTCTTTGGCTCTGGATAGCGCTTCTTTTACCTGAGTTCCTGCAATCTTCTCCTTGCTGAGGTACTTGAACAGAAAACGCCAGCAGGTCCGGCGCCAATAAGGATTCAGGCTTGCGAATCTCATTAAGCCAGCGACTCGTATGAAGTTCTTTGGTGTCAGACGGGCCCTGAATAAGTGGAACCAGCTTCTCCTTTACGCCCTCCTCTGAACCTAAAAGACAAGGGTTGAAGGTAAATCTCAATTCTCAGATTTTCCCATATCTGAGGTTTTAGCAACAGCTGGCATCACACATACTAGTCCACCTTTATTTAAATATATATAAAAACACAATCGGATTGCCGAACCTTCTTTCAAAAGTTAGAAATAACTCTTATATCTCTGTATGTCACAGTTCGTTAGACATTAATACTCAACAGTTTTTCATTCCAACTCCCAGTAAAAGTAATAACTGAATCAAATTGAACATCTCTGATGTAAAACTACATTATTTTTGATTGTATAAAGGCTTCAATAGTTAATAGTTGATTTTTTAACCCTTCTTAAGTTGTTTTTTTGATGACTGCTATAACAGGTATGAGTTTGTTTACATTTGCAGGGTTGGTGGCACACACTCCCAGTAGAGAGTCCCTGTAGAAGCCTGAATGCAAACTACAAATAGAAAGACCATAAAGATTGACCTGCAACTACTGTCCTGTTAGGCAACATCATTATTATTTGTCGTCCTTTGTGTCACTAAACCCTGAGGGGTCATAGCAGAGGGCTGCTTACACTGAGTCTAGCTCTGGTTCTGCTGATAAAAAGGGAGCTTTCCTCCCCACTGTCACTACATGCATGATAAATATTAGGGATGCACGATATTGGGATTTTGGCCGATATCCGATATGCCGATATTTTAAAACTCATGTAGCCG